ACTCCGCCAAGTAGTGAGTAGGGCGCAGCCCACCACCGCCTTTCTGGAAGCCCATGGTGCTGCCTCTGGCACCCCTCCTGCCCCCTACCCCAGGCTGTGACACCCCACCCAGCCCACACCAGCCCTGCTTGGTTTGGGTGTGCAGGAGGCCAGCGGGATGAGGGGACACGCCCTGGCCCATCTCAGCCCTGCCTGCCACATCAGTCCTCAGGGTCACATCACCCACCAGTGAGCGTTCATGGCTTTAATCAGAAGTCAGAGTCCTCCTGGTCTCACTGGCCTGGGATAAGAGGGTCATCTATGCTTTGACGAGGTGCTGGGGTCATGGCTGCTCCTTGGCTCCCTCCCTGGTCTGAGGGAGGCCCAGGGTCCCTCTCCCTGCCAGTGGACCCTGTCCTGGGGGAGACCTCAGGGGCAGGACCTGGCCACCTACCCATCCCTTCATGCCCATTCTTCCTGTGTTTCCTGCCTCTGGGCTGGTTGTGGGAGAGCCCAGATGAACACAGATTTGGAACCAGAGGCCATTCATGGCCTCTCGGGTGGGATTGAAAAGGTCTGAGAGGGAAGCTGGGCTCTGTGGTCTTCCCTGTACCCAACTCCCCAGGCTGACTGTGAGGAAGACACCAGACAAACCCAACCCAGGGGCAGCCTTTGAAACTCCTGCCCAGTCCTCCTCAGGACTGCCCAGGGCATCGGATGCAAGGAACGCCCGAGAACCTGTCTCAGCCCGGAGCAGCAGGGGAGATGGTCGGCCAGATGTCCTGTGGGGTCCTGGATGGGGCTTGGGGGCAGGAATAGGATTGGGGGAAACAGGACACCTGAGTAAAGTGTGGAATTCAGTTAATGACGCTGTAGAGACATTGGTGCATTGCCCGTGACACGCAGCCCTCTTGTGTGAGACGTGAGCAGAGGGGACCTGGGTGCTCACGCTGGGTTTCAGGATAATCTTCGCAACTCCTCTGTAATTCTGAAACTATTCTAAAAAGATATGTATATATTTTAACTTATTTTTGTCTTTTGGCGGCTGACAGTACAGGGATTGAACCTCTGATCTTGGTGATGTAACACTGTGCTCTAACCGGCTGAGCTATTGTACAATCATAAGATGATTTCTAAACAGCCGTCCAGAAAGCCGTCCTTGAGCCCACCCAGGCCTCTGTTCTGGAAGCCCTTGTGCTGGTTGCTGTCTCCCTCTGGATAGTCCATCTGGGTGGCTTTATGCAGAGGCCCCTGAAACCATTGGGAGTTTGTGTCCTGGGAGCTCTTTCTGTTCAGGACCGTTTCTGTCCCTCAAGTCTCAGGGAATGAGCCCGCTCCTTCCTGCCCAGGACATGGCTGGGAGGCCTCCATCTGAACCCTGGGGCCTGTTACCAACCCGAGAGCCCCTGGCTTCTCCAGCCCCGGCGGTGTGCGTCACAGCCCAGTGTCCCTGCTTTCCCTGGCAGGCTGGCCTGAGCAGCACCCCTTCCCACCCCCCCCATGTGTTGCAGCTACCTGACCGACGTTGACCGCATCGCCACCTCGGGCTACCTGCCCACACAGCAAGATGTGCTGCGGGTCCGTGTGCCCACCACGGGCATCATTGAATACCCTTTTGACCTGGAGAACATCATCTTCAGGTACCCGCTGTCCTCAGGGAGCAGGTGATCAGGACAGGAGATCACAATTATCAATAAGCAACTGTCATCCAGTCACAGGCAGGCAATGAGCTACAGGACTCGGGGGCTGGTGGCAGGGGCTGCCTGGGGGAGAGGGCCTTCTGGTGGGGCCTTGAGAGATGGTGCCATGGGCCTTGCGGGGGTGGGCACGTGGATGGGGTGGTCTGGAGTTCTGGCCAGAGCAGGGAGTGATAGGAACTAATAGATGTGGGGGTCTCTCCCGGCTCTAACAGATGTGGGGGCTTTCCTGTCTCTAACAGGTGTGGGAGTCTCTCCCGACTAACGGATGTGGGGGCTCCCTGGCTCTCACAGACATTAGGGGCTCCCTGGCTCTTGCATATATTAGGGGCTCCCTTGCTGTAATGATGTCCAGCTGTGTCCACTCCGATGGCAGAGTTGGCCCTCAGGGCTGCAGCCAGTCCCCCTGTCACCGAGCGCTCTGGGGTGCTGTTTCCTTGCAGGATGGTGGACGTGGGTGGACAGAGGTCAGAGCGGAGGAAATGGATCCACTGTTTTGAGAATGTGACCTCCATTATGTTTCTCGTCGCCCTCAGCGAGTACGACCAGGTCCTCGTGGAGTCAGACAATGAGGTGGGCGCTGCGCGGGGCAGGGGAGGGCTTGGGACCGGCCCTGCCTCCCTCCGTGCGGGGCTGAGCCCGGGGTGGGGGGCGCAGGGCCTGTCCCACAGCGTGGCTTCCGTCCTCCCCTCCCTCCCGCCAGAACCGGATGGAAGAGAGCAAGGCCCTGTTCCGCACGATCATCACCTACCCCTGGTTCCAGAACTCGTCGGTCATCCTCTTCCTCAACAAGAAGGACCTGCTGGAGGACAAGATCCTCTACTCCCACCTGGTGGACTATTTCCCTGAGTTTGACGGTGAGTGCCCGCCGGGGCGTGCAGGGTCACACGAGAGGGGTCTCACGGGTTGGTCACACGGGAGTGGGGTGTCTCCAGGAGTGGGGCCTCACACAGGCGGGGTCTCACACACTCGGCCGTTCTCCAGCCCGGGGACCCTGGCCGCGAGCCGAGCGTCCTCGTGCCTCTGGGCCACGGCACCCCCTCATGCTCTGACCCATTTCCCCTGCGTGGCCCCCAGAACCGGGTGGACTCAGACTCTGTTCTCCTGTCGTCCCCGTGGGGCTGTGCTGGGGCAGGACAGAGTGCTGGGCACCTCTAGCCCGCCCTGACCCTCTCTGGGACTCCTTGTCCTGACTATGACTTGGGGGGACAGCCAGGGAGTGTGTCATGTGGCCTGTCCCTGTGGTGGAGTGGGAGCCGCGGGGACAGGGCGTTTACATGTTGTCTGAGGGTGGTGGACACTGGCTGGGGGGTTGAGGCTGGGGCGCTGAGTGGGTAGAGATCAGCTGAGGGGCAGGTGGAAGGGCTGATTGGGGGCGCTGGGCCAGGGTGGACCCCGGGGTGGAGGTGGGGCGGGCGCTGGTGGAGCCCCTGGGGGCTGCAGTCAGCCAGGGCGAGACCACAGCTCACCCTGGAGCAAGTGGCATAAACCATGAGAGCAGCTGTGCTGGGGCTTGTCGCAAGGGCCGGGGCAGCTGCCCCTGCAGGGCCGGCGTCCATCTCCAGCTGTCTGCAGCCCTGCTGGGCACACACAGGCTCCGGGGGAGGGCCTCGCTCACTCGTCCCCTCCCCCAGGGCCCCAGCGGGACGCCCAAGCAGCCCGGGAGTTCATCCTGAAGATGTTTGTGGACCTGAACCCCGACAGCGACAAGATCATCTACTCCCACTTCACGTGCGCCACCGACACGGAGAACATCCGCTTCGTCTTCGCCGCCGTCAAGGACACCATCCTGCAGCTCAACCTGAAGGAGTACAACCTGGTGTGACCTCCACGCCCCCAGCGGGCTGGAGCGGGAGGAGCAGAGGCTGGGAACGCGCAGGGACCGGCCCTTCTTGCACGGCGCAGGCGGCCAGCGGCCAGTCCAGCCGCCTCGGCTCGGTCTCACGTCTCTGCCCGCAGGAGGAGTTGATTTTTTTTCCTTCATATTTTTAACAAATGGTTTTTATTTCACAGTTATCAGGGGACGTACATCTTTCTTCCTTCACACCTCGTGCACCTTCTCACCTTTTGTCAGCGGCAAAGGCAGCCTTTTTCTGGCCTTGACTTGTGGCTCGCTTTTTTCTAAAAAAAAAAAAAAGAAAAAAAAGAAAAAGAAAAGAAAAACGAAACACAGAGATGAAACAAGCGTGTGCCCCGTGCCCTCAGCACCTCCGACCTCACTCAGCCCCCGTCACCAAGCGCCAGGAGCTCCCGGCCCCAGCTGCAGGTCACCGTGTCCCCCCTGCAGCCCGAGGCCTGGCCAGCGTTGACGCCACATGCCCAGCCGGGGCTTCTGCACGTCTTCTCCACCCCATTCCTGTCTTCTGAATCACGAAAGACTTGGAGACACCTTTCCCACTTTTTTTAAGTTATTGTCATCCTGTGCATCCTCCCGATGTTCGCTCACTGGACTCCAAGACGTGGGGGTGGGTGGCGCCCCAGCCGCCCGCCCTGGGAAGTGCCTAACCATTTCTTTTTTTTAGAGGAAAACAAAAGCCCACCTGGCTCTGACTTTTTTTAAGTTATTGTCATCCTGTGCATCCTCCCGATGTTCGCTCACTGGACTCCAAGACGTGGGGGTGGGTGGCGCCCCAGCCGCCTGCCCTGGGAAGTGCCTAACCATTTCTTTTTTTTAGAGGAAAACAAAAGCCCACCTGGCTCTGCAGGCTGGAGAGACACCTGTGCCCTCTCTCACGGCGCCCAGGCTGCCGCCGGTGCCCTGTCCCTCTGCTGGGCCACGACAGTCCCCGTGCTGGGGCCGTGGGGGCTTGGGGCTACGTCTGGCCGGCCTCCGAGTGCCGTGAGAGCACCCCTGGGAGCCTGAGCAGGCAGGCAGCGAGTTGAGGGCGGCCGGAGGGTCGGTCCCCACCTGGATGTGGGGGTGGCGCCTTTTGTTTTGTTCCGTCTTGTTGCCAATTTGGAAACGGAGGGTGGGGTGGGGACTTTAGAATATTCTCAGGTCTGTCCCCGGGAGTCAGAGAGTTGGGGGAGCCAACTCTGCTCCGGGCGTGGCCCTGTCGCAAGCACTTGTTCCCAGCCACCCGCGGGCCGCGGCACCTGCACTTTCCCGAGCCCGGCGTGGCGCTGGGGTGGGAGGCCCCTGTGGCCAAGGCTGCGACTCAGCCAGACCCGCAGGGCCGCCTCCCCTGGGTCCCCTCTAAGCACCCAGACCCCCTTCTCCCCGAGTGACCTTGAAGGCAGGGAACAGAGGGCGGGGACGTTTTGTTGGGGGAAGGTGGCTTTTTCATCTGTTGTAGACTGAACACTACAGTGTTTTGTTTTGTTTTGTTTTGTTTTTGCACAATCTACTGGGAACAGGTCGCCAGCGATGCCTTTGTCCCACCGCCATGCTGGGCCCCAGCATCGCAGCTGCTGCTGCTTTGGGGCTTGACATTACAAAAGAATTCAAAAATCAAACCTATCCCAGCCCATAGTCCAGCCGCCCCCGCTGTCCCAGCTGCCCCTTGCTGTCATCCACAGGGCTCTGCTGTGTTCTGGAGGCAGGAAATGAGGGGACCCCTGTTGGAGGGGGATGGGGATGTGGAAGTCGGGGCTGCTACATTCCTGGGGACCAGCCCCATGGGGGGCCGGAGGGGCCTGGGGGACCCACCAGCCTCCTCACAGCAGTTTTCCTCGTTGGGCTCTGCCAGAGGGGGCCTTTTCTGTGCCACGTGTCTGCCTGAGAACGTGAGAGCGGAGTGGGTTGCGTCCTTGCGGGAGCAGACATACTAGCTAAGGTGGCGGTCACCGTGTTCGTTGTCTGTGAAGGGCCCAGATCGCAAAAAGGGAACTGGACCTGGGCTCTGGAGGAGGTGGCCCGAGGGTGGAGTCACAACACTGGGGCCAGGGCACCCCCAGCTGGTCAGAGTGTTAACCCTTCCCAGAGAGGGGCAGGTGCCAAGTGTCCAGAGCCAGCCGGGCCGTCAAATGCCTCAGCCCGACCCTTCTGGAACCCAGCGTGCTGAGTGCCACTTTAAGAGTGGGGGGCAGTGCCTGGGGTGGGGGCGGAAGCACCTGCCCCGGGAGAATCCAAGACAGCAGTTCCTGGGCCAGTGCCACCCCGGGGCGGCAGGGAGCATGCATGTCTGACCGTGGCGCTTGGCCCTAGTGCGGGAGTGTTTGTCCCTCTGTTTGTACCCTGATGAATGCACCTCTGTAAACGCTTTCTCGTGAGTGCCGACCACCCCCGGGGCCGTGTCACGTCTGGGCGTCAGCTGCGGCGCACGTCGTGACCCGGGGATAGTTGTAGATTACACAGTCCTGATTTCAGACCATTTAAACCTTAACCTATTTAAGAAAGAATATTCTATAAAATGCTGTTTTTAAACCTTTTGCCCTTTGAAATGCATGTCTCGTGTGTGTGTCGGGGATGGGAAGGAGTTAGCTCAACGCCAGCCTCCCGTGGCCCAGGCTGCCTGTGGCCAGGCGGGGGGACCGTGCGGTTTGCTCAGCAGGTCGGGGCCCTGACCCCTTAATCCAGAGACACCTGACAGAAATTGACTTTTCATATCTTTCTCCTGAAATGAATTCTGTTTTAAATTGGAATAAATTTTGTTCCTAAACGCTGCGGCCCTCTCCTGGTTTCTTTCCTGTTGCCGGTTAAAGGGGGTGCGTGGGAGTGAGCGGAGCACTGGCCCCGAAACACCCGGCTCTGAGCTCACCTGTACTCCCCGGCTGAGCAGGCTGCCTGAGCAGCGCCACCCTATTTGGGGGCAGGGGCCTGAGATGGAGGTGGAGCACAGATTCAGGACCCAATGTGCCACCTGTCCATGATGCGTGCGGGGAAGGTATGTCCCCCCCCGGCCTCCATCTCTGACTGAAGGCGTCGGGTCAGAGGGCCTCTGCAGTCTTCCTTCAGCTTTCTTTTCCTCTTAAAAACATTTGTAATTGTGGTAAAATACGCATACCATAAGATTCACCATTGTAACCGTTTTTAAGTGCACAGTTCCATGGCATTAAGTACATCCATATGGCTACCGTCAGCACTATCGCCTCCAGAACTTTCTCATCTTCCCCAACTGAAGCTCTGTCCCCATTAAACACCCACTCCCCGTCCTCCTCCCCAGCCCCTGGCACCCCCCATTCTACTTTCTGTCTCTGTGGATCTGACGACTCTAGGGACCTCCTGTGAGTGGATCACACAGTGTTTGTCCTTGTGTGACTGGCTTATGTCACTGAGCACAGTGTCTTCTAGGTTCATCCACGTTGTAGCACGTGTCAGGATGTCCTTCCTTTTCATGGCTGAGTAACATTCCAGTGTGTGGAGGGACCACGTGTTTATCTGTTCCTCCATTAACGGACACCTGGGTTGTTTCCACCTTTTGGCTGTTGGGAATCGTGCTGCTGTGAACATCGTTACACCAATACCTGTGTGAGTCCCTGCTCCCAGTGCTCTGGGTAGATGCCCAGGAGTGGAACTGCTGGGTCGTGTGGTAGTTCTGTGTGATATTGTGAGGAACCGCCGTGCTGTTTCCCACAGTGGCTGCCCACTTCACGTTCCCACCAGCCGTGCACGAGCTTCCAGTCTCCACATCCTCCTTCAATTTTATTTACTCTTTAATCAGCCAGAAAGGCCTTGAAGACCCCCGTGTGCCAGGCACTGTCCTCAGAGCTGTAGACACAGCAGGAGACAGAACTCACCACGACTTCCATGATGAGAAATAGGGCAGGGAAGTGGGCAGGAGGGGCTGTTCTGGAAGGACCTTTCTGAGAAGGTGGCATCTGTGTAGGATCTTGGGGATATGAAAGGAAGGAGCCATACTGTTACCTGAGGGAAAGCATTCCAGGCAGAGGGTACAGCCTGTGCAAAGGCCCTGGGGCAGGACTGAGTTGGGCCTGTTGGAGGAACGGCGAGGAGGCCCGTGTGGCTGGAGCAGAGAGAGCGAAGGGAGGGTGGGAGGGGATGGGGCGGGTCGTGCAGGGCCTGGTGGGCTGCAGGAGGACTTGGGCTTTTATCCCAAGGGAGGTGGGAGCCATGGAAGGCTGTGAACAGAGGAGGGACAGGACCTCACTCAGGTGCTCACACGCGCCCTCTGGTGGCTTCTGTGGGGAGGACAGACTGGAGGGCGAGGGTAGGAGCTGGGGGTCGAGGGTGGAGGTCAGTGGGCTGGTCTAGGTGGGAGATGAGGGGCTGGACCAGATGGCAGAAACAGAGGTGGGAGCATCAGGTCGGGGTGTTGTGCTGGGGGAAGGGGCCCCAGGCCTGGGTCAATGTTGCAGGTGGGTGTTGTGCCACCCATGTCCAGCAGGTGTCGCCTGAGGCAGCTCCCGCCCATCTCTGACCTGGGCCTTTCCTGCTGGCTTTAATTCACATCCACCCCTGGGGGGAGACCCTCTTATCATGCCCATTCCAGAAGAGAAACCGAGGCACAGAGGGCGAGTCCCTTGCCCGAGGCAGCTTGTCCCTGACGCAGGCCAGCCCTTCTGGGGTCTTGGCACCAGCCCTGGCCAGTCCAGCCAGCCAGGGCTGCCTCCAGCACCCGCTGCAGGATGCGCAGGGCCCGGAGCAAGGGGGAAACACAAGGCCCTTGCTGGAAAATTAGGAGAAATCTCAAGACAGCAACAGCAGAGCACGAAGACCCCTGCCCCCTCTGAGCCCAGGAGAGTGAGGACAGGGAGAGAGGATGGAGCAGAGGGTGGGGAGGAGACAGGGCAGGTCTCGCAGGGCTTTGTGGGCTGTGGGAGGACTCGGGCTTTTATCCCAAGGGAGGTGGGAGCCATGGAGGGCTGTGGGCAGAGGAGGGACAGGGCCTGACTCAGGTGCTCACAGGCGCCCTCTGATGGCTTTGGGCCTGGCTGGCTGCTTGCTGGGGACACAAGGCGGCAGGAGACCGGCGGTAGGGATTCCTGGTGTGGGTGGGAAGTCAGGCCTGAGACCCCCAAGCCAAGATGGGTGTGCATGGTACCTGGGGACACCACCAAGCAGGAGCCTGACTTCTTGGGTGCGTCAGGAAGAACTGAGCTACTCTGGGCTCCCCAGGGTCCCTGTCTCAGCTGGGATCCCCAGAAACAGGCCAGGAGACAGGACACTGTGGGGGGCAGCGTTTGAGGGGTCTCTCTATAGGGGAGGACTGGGCAGGTGAGGTGGCTACCCTGGGG